CCAAATCAAGCTGGCTGAGATATAAGCCCCATTTTGTGATCTCTGGCTCTCTTACTCCCTCATATGCATTTTAAGGCTAAAGATCGGTGTCAGTCAAGGATTAGAACTGGGGCTCTTTTGAGACAGGAGCTCCTTTGAGAAGGTTGCCTTGAAGGAGGATGGTTTGAAAGCGAAGGAGAATGTGGCAGGAGAAAAATGTTCTGGCATCAAGAGTATCAAGGGAGTTAAAAAGCAAAGAATCTTAAGGCAGCAGAAGGCTTTCAGACGGATGACAGCGATGCAGGTGGAGGAGCATTGATTGATTGACTGAAAATATTTTTACTCCTCCTCTCTTGTTAAAAAGGATCCAAAGTGGTTTACATCATTAAAAGCCTATTTAAAAGCTGAAAACAGTAAGTATAGAAAAATTAAAAAAAATTAAACAAATACCACTCTAAAAGTGGCAAAACAAATCAACACCAAAGACAAATTCAAAGCAAGAAGGCATAACACTCTATTTAAAACCTCCCTCAGACAGCCAGTCACTAAGGGAAACCGGAAGAGAAAAATCTTTGCCTGCTTGGGGAAGGACAAGATGCGGCACAAGATGCGGCCAGTGGGAGGGAGTTCCAAAGTCTGGGTGCAGCCACAGAGAAGGCCCTCTCCTGTGTCCCCATGAGACATACCTATGAGGATGATGGAACCAAGAAAAAGGCTTCCCTGGGCAGTCTCACATAAAGAGAGATGCGATTCTCTTAGGGGGAACATGATAAGAAACGAATTCATAAATTTGTATTGGAACAACAGATTCTTACCATACAAGTGAATGTCAGAATGCTGTTGTAATTGTAATGATCATGGCTGCTATTTCTGCATTTCAGTTCACTCTGATCTCAGCACCTGCATCCCTCTGAACCATATTGTCTCCCTTTCTTTTCTATCTATCTGCTTTTCTTGCATTCTTGAAACCGAGATTTCACTCCATGCATTTGAAGGAGGAGGCAGTGTGTCCACCAAAGCTGATCCTATAGTAACGCCATCTTAAAAGAGCCTCGGGGCTGTGTGTGTTTGCTTGTTTGTTTTTACTTCTGAGAATGTCTAATATACGGTACATCAATCAGGTTTACTTCTGAGTAAACATGTGCATGATTAGGCAGTAAGACCCTAGGGGTTCCCAAAGTTTGACAAGGACTTTTCATCTTCTAGCCTCCAACTCTTAAGAGCTCTAAGTAATTCGGTTAGAATGTTTGTTGGTGCTTATCTCATAGTTTTTAATTACTCTGAACACAAAGGTTGTATTTTCATATAATATAGATCTTCCACCCTGCAACGGCTGATTGTTTCAGCCTTGCAGAGCCCTGGGAATTTCCCTTTCGCCCCTGGAGTTTTCGGTGGAGGAAATGGTTCACCGCAAAGACTTGATCAGCGCAAGCAAACGTCTTGAGTTGCAGAGCTATGTCTCCCTTGCAAAAAGGGCTTGCGGTGTTTTGCTGTTGAAGAGCCTGCCTTTCTTTGCCTGGCTGTTCCTTCACGTTGCACCCGTTCTCATTACAAGCTGTACACCCATGCATTTGAATATGGCTTTTAGATTCATCATCATCATTTTAGAATTGCACTGCTGGAAGGGACCGTCTGGATCCATTCCTTGTGGAAAAGGCCCAGTGAGGAATCGAACTCCCAGCCTCGCCATCTGGATCCATTCCTTACCAGTGAGGAATCGAACTCCCAGCCTCTGGCTCTGTAACCAGAGACCTAAACCAGTGAGCTACAAGACTCTTACAAATCTATTTCTGTGCCTTTTGCTAAACAAGAAAATTGGAAAAATCTCTGCCTTGAATACTCTCTGCGCACCCTGTAAGCAATCCACAGGTTAATAGTTTTACATGCTTGGTTACGACGGTTAGATGCTTCCATCCTTCACCTGCTTTTCCTTTTTTTCAGAATTTACAAGGGTCTCATTTTCTCCATTTTAGTGCCTCTCTTGGCACAGCTCCTGTGGCTTCTCATGAGCTTTCATCCACAGTATTCTACCTTGACAGGTTCAGGACAACCGTGAAGTTGCGATCGGTGCTAAATAAACATTTGATAATAAGATGCAGCAGACATAAAATCCATGGTCATTCTAGAACAGAGCCCTTGAACCATGCAATGTTGGCTTCCCAGATTCCCATTCATTCCGTGAGACGACTCTTTTTCAGACCAGCAGTTGGATTTAGATATTGTTGGACCCCTTCCCAAACTGTACCCCCCCCGGGTCTTGCTTTGGGAAAGAAGTGTTTATAAGTAGAACATCTCAGAACCCTTTTGTTCTCTCAAAGAACAGCCATAGACCAGATTCTGGGCAGTCGTCCCTGGTCTTCTTTGGCGTCTGCATGTGGGTCTTTGCTCTGCTTGACAAAGACAAACCAAAGGTCTTGGTATTAGGAAAACTGGTCCCAGAGAGTGCTTGCCTAGTGACTAAAGCTTGGGAAAGTTACTTTTTTTAGACAACAGCTCCCAGAATTCTAAGAGTTATTGTCCAAAGAAGAGAGTGCATTTCGGAAGCTCTACAAATGGCACAGAACCCAATGATCAAGGTCTTCTCCTTAGTCTTGCCAGACTCGGCAAAGCTGCACAGTCTCAGGACACCCGCAGCACATCATCATCATCTTCATCATCATCATCATCATCATCATTATTAAGAAATGTCAGGCAGAGTCAGCATTATAAAAACATGGGCTGGTATTATATAACAGATACAAGTTTTAACCAAAAACTGCAATGATATCCATTAAATATCATTGCAGGATGTATGCTGTCCCTAATATTGCCCTTTTTTGTAGCTCTGATGGTGTGATTTCTGAGATCTGCAACTGCTTATAGGACTTTGTGAAATTTCTTGATATTCTTCCCAAAGCCCCAATGACAACGGGGACCGCTGAAGTGCGTTTCGTCCACAAACAAGTTGTTTCAATGGCCAGGTCTCTGTCCTTTGTTCGTTTTTCCAATTCTTTATTTTCCCCTTCCATTCCTTTTCCTCCTTTTCTGATCGTACTGCAAGTCTGATGATGATGAGAAGGCTCTAGTTGATGGCATGCTATTCTTAATTTCTTTCCTCTCCTCCTAAGTTTCTGTATAGGAAGTTCTGTATCACAGGGAAGTCGGCAAGTCCACCCCCTGTGGCCCTGAAAATATATTCCTTTCAAGTATTTTTTTTCAGCCACTAAGTTCTTGTGTAGCTTCTTTCGGAGTTGAGGTAGTTTCTTTTAAGAACAGGAAAGATTTGCTTTCTAATTTGGCTGACTGAGGAGACCAGGGCAAAGCTTTCTTTTACGATCTTTGTTTTTTTGTCTTCCTGAGACTGGCCAAGAAGTCAATTAACCAAGAAGAAAACAAACGTAATTTTTGAGTTGCGAAGGGAAGCTGCTTCAAAGAAGGAATTAAAACCAGAAGTGGATTTTTTTTACTGGAAAAAAAAAACAATGGGGGGGAATGGACCCTTGTGGTTCCTAGATTTTATATTGCAGATTTTTCCCCCCAAAACATCTACTGTGCTAGGCTGAGTTTATCTGTAAAATATTAGCGATTCAATTTTAGAAAGAACCCTTCAGAGGACTTGAAGGCTGTTGTTCATACTTTTAGCCATTCTCCTTAATTGTTTGGGAAAGCAGATGTCCATGCAGGATGGAAGGTACTTCTAAACTTGGACATCATCTGGGAACTAATATACTCTTGGGCCCAGAAGAAGACAGGAGTGCAGGGCAAATTTTATCATATATTTATATCTACTTAGTATACACTGGAAACCAAACCGGGGAGAGCAGAAGGTTTAACGAGGCTGGAGTCTCTGACTCCAAAGTGGGGAGGGTTTAGCTTAGTAGAGCGTTTAGTTTAGGTTTTTTTTCTTTATTAGTCTCTTTTTTCTTTTTCTTTGTCTGTTTTTGTATGTTTGAATTCAAATAAAATTTAAAAAAAATTAAACTTGGACATCATTAAAAGACCCCTGCATAATATATGTTAATGGGCTTATTTTAAGTGTCTGTTTAAAAAAAAAAGATATTTAAAGCCACTTTAGGGCTGTGGTCCTTGGGCATTTCAGTGATATCCTTTAAAAGTCACACAAATCTCACAGTAAGGATTCCGGGTTGCATCTTTGTAGATTTTAGAAATTATTTCCCAAACTTGTACCAGATGGTGTTCAGATCTCATGACTGGAAAAAAAAACCCCAAAAAACCATACATTGGCTTGAGGATAAAGGTCTTCCTGTTTTGTGTAGCAGCAGGTGAGAGGCGGGCCTATGCAAGTTAGCAAAACTTGTGGTCTCTATAAGACTGCCAATCTTTCTTTTGGTATAATGCAGTGCGCACGATGAGCTTTTGGGGTTGAACGCCCTGCTCTAAGTAGGGAATTTAAACCGCTCTTGTCCTTAGTCTTAATCTGAAAACCAAGTGGTCTAGACACGGAATGCTTTCAGAGCTGGCTTGTAACATGAACAACGAAAACCAGAGCACCTTTTCTTGACTCATTTAAGTACCGTCCCTATGCGGGACTTTTGTTAACCGAAATCTTAAAATCTGATGGGTGAGGCAGTTAATCCTAGAAAGCTGATTCATCGGGAGGGAGGACATTAATCTTTTTGACTCAGCTTTGTCTCCTCAGCTCTTGACTGTTGAGGTTCTTCACCCTACCTTGAGATGCTCGAAATAGAATCTGGAATTTTTTTGCTTATAAAAGCACCTGGTCATCATCTGCACCCTAGTCCTTTCAGTTGTATGCCTCTAGGGGGACTCTGGCCATTTTTTACAGACCATCCGGCCAGCTGCTGACATCTGGAAAGAATTATTTGAATGTTTTCTTCGGGTGATTCTTAACCCAGTGCCGTTGACAGTTTTGGTTTTTGTTTTGTTTTCGTTGACTGCTTTACCTGGTGGTGGTGTCTAAGTTATCCTGTGGCAGGTCGCCGGGACCGAATAGGCACTGAAAAAAAATTAATCATCTTTTTGTTCACACACCCCAATCTTTTCCCCCCCTGTTCTTGCAGGAAGAAGAAAAGAAGAAAGCCAAAGAAGAGGAAGAGCAGCGGGAGTATGAGGAATATCTCAAGCTTAAGGAGAGTTTCATGGTGGAAGAAGAAGGGGTAGCTGAAGCTATGAATGAAGAGGAGGTAAGTTCTGTGGCACCCGGGGCGGGAGGTGATGGTTATAAAGGCCGTCTAGAGGAGAACCCAAGAAAACTGGGGCAAAGAAAACGTGCTTCCAGGTAAAATAGAACTAAAGTGGACTGTCCACCTTACCTGCAAAGAAGCGCAGCTGGCCCATCCGTTGACATGGGGCCAGGACACTCAGAGGCCAGGGGAGCCCCAGAAGCAATGATGGGCGAAAGGGTACTCCCCCAGCTGTGAATTTGTTCTTTTCGAGAGAACACAACTACATCCAGAACAGACTGTAATACCCAGTCCCTGGTTGTTTGGCCTTTTGGTGATCATCTGTGTGATCATAACGTTGCTGCTTTAAAAATACTTGACCAGAATTTGACTAGCCCCCTCATTGGGTTTGTTGTTGTTGTTGTTGTTGACTCCCTAAATGCCTCGCCCCTACCATGAAGTGGCTTCAGCTTACAATATACGCTGGCCTAGAATGGCTCCCAAAAACAATTACCGTATTTTTCGCACCATAAGACGCACTTTTCCCAATGCCTCGCCCCTACCATGAAGTGGCTTCAGCTTACAATATACGCTGGCCTAAAGAATGGCTCTCAAAAATAATTAATTCATGATTCGCCTCCCACGTTTTCTTAGTTATTCAGTGGCCACGATGGCTGGATCGTTGAACAAAAAGGTGCAAGTTAGCGGACACCTCTTTTAGGTCTGTGGCGCCGTCCTGTGAACATTGCAGGCGAAATTCTGCCCTGGGGCACTGCATAAGCATAGTGGGCGAAGGGGCTTCATGCATTCGCCTCCCACGTTTTCTGGAACCTTAGTTATTCAGTGGCCACGATGGCTGGATCGTTGAACAAAAAGGTGCAACTTAGCAAACACCTCTTTTATGTCTGTGGCGCCGGCCTGTGAACATTGCAGGCGAAATTCTGCCCTGGGGCACTGCATAAGCATAGTGGGCGAAGGGGCTTCATGCTTCTGCCCTAAAAAGATGGTACGGTCATGAATGTGTGAAAAACCTCCGAGGTCACAACATATAAAATGCCAACTTGTCTATCAACGCTGTTATAAGACCAACTTGTCTATCAACGCTGTTATAAGACAGTATTTAAAACCACAAAACAGTAAGTATACAAATATTTTAAAAGAATTTAGCAAGTATTATATTAAAACAGTCAATAAAATCGATACTAAAACACATTTAAAAAAACAGGACACAACAATCCATGGGGAGTAAGGGGGGGGAAACCAAAGCCCTCTCAGGCCACTAGTCCCTAAGGTAAAATCTGTCTTGCTTGAGGAAGGATATCAAAGACTGGCCTCCAGTGGCAGGGAGTTCCAGAGTCTAAAGGAGCCGTCACAGAAAAGGCCCTCATCTGTGTACCCACCAAACATAATCTGTGAGGGTGGTGGGATTGAGAAAAAGGCCTCCCCTGATGATCTTAATTTTCTTAATTACTATGTGAACAGAATGTTAATTTAAAGAAACCACTGATGTAATTGAGCATGGTTTTTCTAATGGTCTTTCTTCAAAGTGACATGTGGGGTTTGGTTTTGTTTTGCAGAAATTGCTTTTTTTTAATATAATGATTGTTTGTACTAAATCCACTTACTAGTCTACATCAGTCTATTAGTAGACCAGTTTGGGCAATGGAAGTTACTTAACATTGACTTAACCTGCCCCCCCCAATTCATTACATCTGCTCTGACTGGGATGAGAAACTGATTAAGCCCATTGGATTTTAAAAGCACACCAATTAGTCTGGAAGGTACTGTAACTCTCTGAAGTTATGTCTGTTTGATTAAATACAGGACATTGAATTTTTACTAAAAATTGGACTGATTACTAAACAGATAAACCTCAGTCTGTCCATGCCGTCTCCCCCCCTCCAGCTAATAATACTGATTTCAGAAGACGGTGAAAGGGTTGTGGATCTTTTATATTGTGATATCAGTGTGAATGGTGCTTTATAAAGCAAAAGTCCTAGCCAAAAGGCCCTTACAATCCCGGTTTTGCTTATGAGGGAGGAGAAAGACTAGTGAATGTACACCTATTCAGTGACACCCCTGTGTTTCATTTGTGGGTTTAAGCTGACGGCTTCCCAGAATAGTGGATTTGGAAGAAAGACTCGGAGGGGGAGCGGATTTGACACGAAGCTCCGTCCCGAAGTTCGACAAAAACATCTCTCTTTCTAAGCGCCTAATCTTTTCACACACGGCCAGCTTTGTGTTTGATCAAGGGATTACTCGAGTCAAGAGATTATTTGGGCCCATTTCATAGCACCTAGATCCAGTGGAGCTTATCAATGGCCGGAAGCTTTTCAAGCTCTTCCAAAGAAATGATAAGAACCTGAAGACTGGATGGCGGGAATTTTTTTTTCCCTAACGGCCAAAACAGAATCCCATCGTTTCGAACAGTCCTGGGTGCTGATGGTTGTTGTGTTTTTTTCTGGCTCTTTTGCTGTGTTCTGAAGGTTGTTCTTCCTGACGTTTCACCAGTCTTCAGCGGACTGGAGTAGGAACTCTGTCCATGCTGTGTTCCTACTCCTGTCCTTTGAAGATGCTGGCCACAGAGACTGGCGAAATGTTAGGAAGAACAACCTTCAGAACATGGCCAAATAGCCCGGAAAACCCACAGCAACCATCAGATCCCAGCCGTGAAAGCCTTCGAGAATACATTAGTCCTGGATGCCTTTTGTCATAGCTGATGCAACCGCTGTGTACTGAAATGTGAGGGTGTGCTTGTGTTGTACCCTGTCCTCAAGTAGTTTTACAGAAAGCATTTTCTAATCTGTTGATTTATTGCAATGGCAGGGTGTTAGTTTCTTATACGTGCCCCCTGTTTTTCCACTAATAATTGTTTCTCTTCTTGTTCCCAGTCCCGTAGCTTTGTAACAGAACTTCTCGAATACATCAAGGTATGTTCATCTTCCTTCTTTTATTCTTTCCCTGTTTGCTTTTTAAAAATAAATGCACGGTTTTGGTGCTATGGATAGTTGAGTAGTCCATCAAACCATCTAAATTCAAAAGGCTGCATCTCGGGTATAAGCTGCATCTGTAAGGCAGATGCTGATGTTCCATAGACACCTCGGTCATGGTAGGCTGCATGCCCTTGCCTGTGCTTTAGATTTTGTTCCCCCCAAAATAAGCCCTAGTATGATTTTAAAAAGCAGAGCCATCACCTTGCCGACAAAGGTCCGCATAGCCAAAGCTATGGTTTTTCCTGTAGTGATGTATGGAAGTGAGAGCTGGACCATAAAGAAGGCTGACCTGTTGAAGAATTGATGCTTTTGAATTGTGGTGCT